GGTTCCTTTTAGAATTGAAACCCACAAATATTTATGTGTATTTCATAACTGGTGATTTCTTTTGAAGGCTTTATATACTCCATATCCCAACAGGCCTTTCTGTGAGTCCAGTTTGTGTACCAGTCACTTAAAGTTCTCACTTTAGCTCAGCAAGTCTTATTTAATAAATTCACCAACATTATGAGTATACGGCCTGTATCATCTTAATGTAGGCAATCAGCTACCCATGATCTGAAGAAGTTTCTTCCTCAAACAGATCACTTCTTGTCTCCTTTGGTATAATCATTACTGCAATCTTATTAAGTTTAATTGAGGGTAGAGTTTGAAAAATAGGCATCTTTATTGTGTATGTGATGGTATATCTACAATTTTTTTGGGGCTGATGTGTGTGTTCCTTGACATGCTTAAAGCCCAGTTAAGGTTGTTCCAAATCAGGTGCAGATTAGCATGTTAACATTTGAGCATTATTCATTGCCTTTATGTGCCATCTATGTTCATTTTCCCTGATTCCCAAGGATCACATATGATCAGAAATAGTGGAAGGATATATTTTGGTTAGTCTCTACTCCCTGGATTTGTAATACAAGAAGATTGCATCACTATAAATTTGTCTTTTTATCAATTTTTTCTTATTGACAAATAGTTAGTAGAAGAAGTTTTTTTTTTTTTTTTTTTTTTTTTTTTTGTTGTTGTTTTTTTTTTTAAATAAATGTAATGCTGGCCTTTTCAATACACAAATATAATCTCTTTCTTTCATGATAAACTCCTTCCTCACCCCTCTCTGCTTCCGCAAAATCAGAGAAATTCTATGGTATTCTATATATTTCAACTTCTTTTAACTTATTCCCACTAAGACTTTGTATTTATAAAATACAAATTACATCAAATGTCACTTTTATATCTGACTCCCCAAGACAGTTTGTCAGTGTGGGGAGGTATGACCCTCCCTCAGATAGAAAAACAAAGAAAAATAACTGAATTTTCATTGGGTGTTGTGGTATAGTATTATTAGTATATCTTCATGTATGTAAAGCAAGATGAGACAAAAAAGTTTTCACAAAATATTACTGTTCCATTCTTTCTGTTGTTCCAAATAGTGTGCAATCTATGGTAAGAGAAGGAGAGCAGTCTATCAGTACTTTAACTTACATTCTTGTTCTAAGGCACTGTATGAAAACCTAATGTCATCTGGATATCGTAGCAGTCCTTAACATATAATTATGTGAGACCAACATTACTTGATCAAAGTAAAAAAGCAAGCTCTTATTTTATTTATAAGCCATCTGCCACAAACCATTATCAATTACTTAGGCCCTAAGTTACAGTTTCCATTTTAATAGTTCTATTAGTGTTTGGGTGGTTACTATGAAGATTACTCAATAAACATTGTCCAGAAAAAGCTAGATACTTTTAATGCATTATCCTCTGGAATGTCTATTAAACAATAACACTGAACCTTCTGACAGTTTTATTTCTGAGAATGTTATAACGTTATTATGCATCCCACCAGTAATTCTGCATTACTGAAAACTCCTGTGCAATGTAATGAGTCTTACCAAAAGCAGATGCAGCCAAATTAATAACAAGGACATCAATGCCCTACAGAAACCATACAGTGGGAGGGGTGGGATGGGGGGAAAAGAATGCAGAAAATAATTATGTTTCACTTTTGCAACAAAAAATAACTGAAATAAGAGACAGTAATATAAAGATTTGAAAATGCAAATATAAAAAGTAGATTCACTGAAAAGATTATTTCATCATACAGTATATACTGTTTAATGGAGTCTCTGGACAGATTGAATGTAACTTAATTATAGGACGAAGGGGTTCTAAAAAAATTTCTTAAACCCCTAAATTTTCTTCAATGTACTTCTGTAAATAGGTTTCTGCATGTCACATTTTCTGGGAGGCCACCCTGCAAGGATCCTTTTATCACCTGTTAAATGTATGCTATTCCTCTTAACTAACCACAAAGAAAGCTCAGTCTAAGGTTCAGTACACTTAATACAATGCTTACAAAGAAGGGAAGGCTTCAGATAAAACTCAGTGCTTAGCCGTAATGACCCTGGTAAATGTTAGTTTCCTGCAATAAAAATAATAGGTGAAATCTTGGCCTATTGAAGTCAATGGCAAAATTCCCATTTTAGCAGGTACAGTATTGCAACCAATAAATCTACTTGAACAAATTAAAAGAAATGGGTGAAAGAATGAAGAGGAATTAATGTAACAAAATACATTATTTCAGAGCTTGTTTTACTCTCCTTTGCTTGAGTGAATAGCTCCTGATACTCCTGAGATGTGCTCACAGAAACTATTGTTGCAGTGTACTGAACACCAAATATTTACAAAATATTATTTAAAATTTAATGAGCAATTTTGAAACAGGAAAATCAGCTCTGTTGTTACAATGAGTCAGTCCCTGATTCAACCAGAGACTGTTTTAGGGGTGAGTAACCAAGGGCAATTGCCTAAGACTGAATACCACGGGGAGTGTGTTAAACTACAATAATTAAAAGTACATGTTATCCAGTATGCCTCAATCTATGCCTGTGTTCTTGCTAGTCAAAACCTGCTCAGGCTCCACACAGATGAAGCTGAGTAATGTGAGTAAAATAACAGGCAAATTTTTTTTTTGCCTTTTTATATTTATATCTCTGTGTTTCTTTACATTTATGTGTGAAAATACCTAATTTCTGATTTCTGATGTGTAATAAGTGTAGCCATCATATTTTTGTAGGGGTTTTTCCAGGTATCCTTTACACACATGCACCACGTGGCCCATGTACAGCAAGGCAGTTTCAGAAAGATGTGGTCTAAGAAATCAGGCACTGTACAGCCATACCACAAACATGCTATGGTCCTGTCTGGAAACAAAAGATGTTGGATGGGAGGAAATGTATGTGTTGGTACCCCATCATGGCCAATACTGTGATTTGAGAGCCCTGTTTCATAAGGATGTGAGAGCTCTGACTCTTTCAGGTGTTCCAGTACCTGGACCAAAATATGGAGAAGGACAACCATCCAGTTTGTGGGGCTCCTTTAGAGACATTATTTGCAACCAAAGGACAGTTTGGGAAAAAAAAAAAAAAAAAAAAAATACTGGTTAGAAACCAACAAGAATCCAAGGGTAGCTAAAAATATGTCATCTGATATGAAAGAAATAAACAAGAAAAATACTTCTGAACAGAAAAACATTGTGTCAAAATGTAATGGATCTGTAAAATCTTCATTAAACTAACTTAATATCTTTAACATCTCACAGAAATAAACTAAACAGAGCAGTAAACTTACATTGGTAGTGGAAAATACTGACATCTATTGCAGGCATTGTTTTGCAATATGATTTTTCTTAGCTGTTAAATCTCATTTTAATACTTATCAGATTATTCAACAAGAATTTTTCCCCACCACTTAAAACACTCTGCAGGTTTCCAGCTCATAGCAGTTACCTAGCAATTCACGCAAATGTTTTTGTTGTCTGAAACTGTAGGGCATCTACTTTGGTTTTGACCATCATTGGTATTAAGTGCTTCTCCAAACTGGAGTAAATAAGCAAACAAACAAAACATCAACAAATGTCTTATGCAGAAAATATTTTACATTGTCGCAGTGTTCTTTCTTTGCAAAAATGTTTATAAAACCAGTAGGAGTCGCACATAAATGATCAAATCTGTAATAAAGCTTTTGTCAGCTCAGCTCATGTGGCTCATCAGAACATCTAACAGTAGTCACCCCTAAGCACAGGTATTCTTATAGATAGGATGATAATAGACCTTCTCATTAATCACACTGTATATCTGACTCTTTCTCCTTTCTTCAGTCTTTAAATAAACTCCATCTGGTTCTTACTATTTAGCTGTGCAGCTTACCTTTCATAATAAATCACGCTTACTGCTGCAGAGCAGGTCCAATGTGATTAAAATTATTACAGTTGTTACTTAAGTCTGGAATCAGCTAACAATAAAAAACACGATCAGCCACAAAATGAAACTGAGAACAAAATCTTCACTGTGTGTAAATGAGATGGATTCCAGCTGATTTCAGTGGAGGGTATTGAAAACAACGTTCTGGGCCACCTTCCTCTATGTTAATACTTTATGGAGCACATCAAGCAAGATACCAGAACATTGCTTGTATGAGAAAGAAACAATCTCATCATATTGTAGACTAGTCCTGGGCTTCTGGTCTGCTGTGGCAGGGTGAGGACCTAGGTAGCTACAAGGGAATGACCCTGCCTATTTTAATTTAAACAAACTAAAACAAACAGTTCCCCTCTCTCTGGGGTGCCCAGTTTATTTAGAAGGCCCTAATTCAGATTCTGTTCAACATACTGCAAATGCAAGCTAAACAGTACCAAGACAACAGAAGCAAAGAGGCAAAACAGCTTTCTATGTGTTTTGGTCTTCCTTTTTTATTTCCATGGCAGTGTCTCCATGCCTTTACAATTTTTTGGTCACAGCTAAACTAAGCTGCATTCATTACTGAGCTTGTAAAACTTTGTGAGGATTTAACCCAATTAAAAAAAATCACACTGCTGAATGACTGTGAGATAGGAACAATCCAGGGGAGGTAGGATATGGTAGGACCTCTTCCAGGAAGGACTCACATGTAAACTATGATGTACAACTAGGACCTGGCATTTCCCTGTGGTGTGCTTTGTTCTTTTAGGAGTTTATTTTGGAGCTGCTATGACATCTCTACCACAAATGCTCACAACATGCTCTGCAACCTCAGCACAGGCGGAGGCAGGCAGGGCCTGCTCCAGCTCATGCCAGCAGGATATGATGCCTGGTAAAACACCGGGACTCTGTGACTGGAAGGGGCTACCCAGATAGTCAGGCCCCTACCCCAACAGTCACAGGGTCAGCTGAGACTTGGGGTCCCCTTGAAAACGTTGACATTTCTCCTTTGGACAAGAATGCCAGCTATGCACCCTTATGTCACCAGAATGCCTAAACAGGTAAAAATACCACAGTACAACCTTTTCTCTTTTACAGCTTGAGAACTACATTGTGGAAAACATGAAATCGGAGATGGTGCAGCTGCAGCAGAATGCGGTGCAAAACCACACCGCCACCATGCTCGAGATAGGGACCAGCCTCCTCACCCAGACAGCAGAGCAGACGAGAAAACTCACGGATGTTGAAACTCAGGTATGTTCCCAGAGTGGTTTTCTAAAAGCTGTTAATTGCAGAGAACTTTTCCCATTCTCTTTCTTTTCCAATGCATCACCACACAAAACATTTCAACACAGGGCTCCAAGAAACATACACACTCTGTTTCTTGGTACCAACAACAGTGATGACTGACCCTTGTTGTGTGTCTTTCTTTTGATTTCTATTTGGTTAGTATATTTAGCTCTCTGTGTGCAAGGCAGGCAGGATTGTCCAGGACACTAAATCAGCATTTGATTTCAAATAAAAAGCTCTGCTACCAACTGTGAATAACACAAGTGTCAAGCTAAATAACAAGTTTCAGGCTAAAACAGAACCTTTGATCTCCATTGTTGTTTGATTCTTTCAATATTAGTAGAAATTTTGGGGTTTTTTTCTGCAAGATGTTTCCAGCTATTTGAAAAGTAGTGTATGTCTGCAGCTTTTACACTGTGAAGAGAAGGACAACCATCAGCTTCTTTATAAAACACTGTGTATTTGATATTGCTGTAAAATTATATAACATCACATGAATTTAAAGAGCCATCTCCATATGATTCCTAACACTAAAATTACTACTGTGATTGAAGTGACAAGCACATCACTGTCACAACACAGAGTACAATTTCATACTGGGCTTACTGCAAACACATGTACTGCTTTTTACCTTTTGAATTATTTTATCAATTTAAGATGCATATTTGTTTTCCTTATTTTTGTTGACTTCCTCTTGGTCTTCATAGCATGTGGTATATTACCAGCTGGACTGTACTTGCTGTTCATTTAGAACAGGAGACTTAAAGTATTGCATCTATTTGGTTTGTTCTAATACCATATGTACATCTTGAAAGATTGTATTTTGTGTTCTGATGTCCTTACATTTACAATATCATTACCAATTTTTTACATAATCGCATTACAGTACACTGAGAAACAACAGTAATTATAAAAGGCAGATACATTTACATGTGTTCCCTGCATCTTTTTTCTACGTTTTGGTTAATAGATCAGCGTTCATTTACAAATGTGATCTCAAATATCTACAGTTTCTAAAGCATAGTATATTATGAAAATGATGGGGAAAATCTTTAATTCAGTATCAAGTGAATAGCTAAATGGAAACATAAGAGGTGAAGACCTATTGGCTGTAGTATATGTTTAATAAAGAAAAAGGAGGTGTAGGAACTCTTATATTCCGAAAGACCTACCTAGATGTAAGTGTTGAGTAGTCATTCACAGTTTCCTCCTTTAAGCAGGTAAGGGACAAAATGTGCCTTGTCTCTGTCTTACTTTTCCTTTGAGGAACCACTTCACGGTAGAGGTATCACTGACAATTGCATGAAGGAACAGATTACTTCCTCCTTCTATACCTATTGCTGAAGAATTTAAGGATGTTCAAGATATCAGTTGCAGTATTTGTTCTGACTTTCAGCTCAGTGTTGGTATTTCCTACCTCCCCTCTTTCAGCAGTATGAAAAAGTCCTGGTAGCCCCTGGCTCTACCATCAATCAGAAAAGAGTGGTGCAGGTGGCTCAAGAAAGTGAAAAGAGACTTCTCTTGGTAGTCATGGAGGTAGCCAGATGCATGGCAGAGAGGTGAAGGTCTGTAGGGTACAAGGAGGAGAAAGGCATGCCAGGATCTCATGCCTGTGATAAGAAATACTCATAACAGGCTAAGGAGGAGTCCCAAGGACTGAACATATAGACTCCACCTCCTTAAAATCTCACTGACCCATCCCAAAATCGGATCCATCCAAAATCCCACTGATTCCCTTTAGGCTTTCTTCTCTACCTGAAGCTCTATTGATGTTTCATAGTCTGCTCCACAGATGTATCCTTTTTGGTAATGTGTTGGTGCTTTCCTGCCTTCTTACCACTTGCCCACCTTTGTAACACACCTTCAATTTCTGCCAGGTCCTTCTGAAACTCTGGTGATGCTTTCTGACACTTCCAAATGTGTCCATCTCAAACAACATAACAGCTGCATATGGATTTCCAAATTTTTCAACCTCTGTACCCTTAAAAAAAAGGACAACTCAAGTTGCTCTGTAAACATCAACAGTTTCAAACAAAAATAAGGCACTGGATTGAGTTTGAGAGCCATTCTCTTTGCTTTACGTTCTGTAACAAATTCTTATGCATGCATGAGAAAATGTTACCATATAATCCTTTGTTGATACTGATAAATGTCCTTCCAAAAAAGGTCTGATAGGTTCCATTAAAGAGGCATCATTTTCAGTTCCAGAAGTGACTGGATCTCAGTTGTTGTGTGCACATGTATCTATAAAAATTATCTACACGCACTCCTTCAGACACTGTGTAATGCATGATGTTATCCCAACAAAATTAATTAACATTATTTAATATTATTGCTTTAATTCTTGAAAGCATTGTTATTTCAACTTCTGAAATTTTTTTTGTTAGAATCTATTCTCTTTCATCTAGTGAAAAGTCTTCTTTCAATCTGATGTACTTAGTAAAACTTGTGCTATTGATACAGACCACCACTACAGTGAAAGACAATTGCATAAAACAATGCTTAGGATCACAGCCTTCATCTTGATCTGTGTAAAACTGCAAGTAGTGATAACATAAGCAGACATCAGACTTCTGCCAATGGTGCAAAATAGAGACTCAATGGAAAGCTACAGTAGGAGATCTATTTACAAAACAGTGGATGCAACACTTTGGTGTCAGTCCAAGTATTCTTGCAGTCTTCTGGTTTAAGCTTTGTAGGAATGCAGGTTTGTGGCATGCCTCTTGTTCTTTCCACTGAAATGAAGTTCATTTGGCAGTCACCTTTCCCTTTTCTGCAGGCCTAGTATAATTCTACAGTAAACAGGGTGCTAGAATATCAGCTGGTACATATCAGTGTAGCTTGATTGAGTTCATTTGCACCAGCTGAGCAGCTGAGGTTAAAAAAGGGATTTAGAAACAATTTTTGACAAATCTTCAAATGAAATGGTTGCATTATGTTGCTATAACAAACATAACCAGACCAATATAAACATTAATTGTTTTGATTTATCCTTAAGGTGCTAAATCAAACATCCAGACTTGAAATTCAGCTACTGGAAAATTCACTGTCAACATACAAGCTAGAAAAACAGTTGCTACAGCAGACACATGAAATCCTAAAAATTCATGAGAAAAACAGGTAAGAATGAGTAGTTTGTCTATTATACTCTTTTTCCCTTTATCACAAAGTGGTCTGTGCATGCTTTGTTCTAAAGAACTGATGAAATGGAAGAAGTAAATATGTTAAGTGGAAAATATCTGTGATCTTTATGAAATGGCTAAAAGAACTAGGATGTGAACTTACACTGTGTTAGCTTCTGTATGATAAATGTAAGTTGATTTTTGTCACTCTCCATGTTCACTGTGAGTTTATATTGCAGTTTGCTTCATGACAACTTAGTCATATGATCCATTTCTGCTACTGAAAAGCATAGGAGTAACTTCTATGAGAACTTTCCAGGAGAAAAATATAAATTATGATATTATCAACTACCTTAAAGTGCATAAGAAACAGAAAAGCTTCAGTAGTTAATATTTCTAGTTTTAATGGATGCAAAGATTTAGCATGTAGAAGGATCTCTTTGTCTTTGGACTCAATAATATACAGCATACTTGGAGCCATGCCCCATTTAAAGAATAAGTAAAGGGTAAACATTTGTATTTTATGTTGAAATTGAAGAAAAAACTATTTAGCAGCACATAACGTTTTAAGCAGTGAAGTGAGAGTGAACGAGATGTTCTAGTGTTATCCCTTTTTGTGGTACACAGGGATTCGGTACCTGAAGTCATTGGATTTAGCAATCCAGTATCTCAGAGAATTTGTGGTGGGGTGGCCTTGTCCAGCTGCCAGATACCCACTCATTTGCTCTCTCACTCCACCTCATTAGCAGGACAGAGGAAGAAAATATGATGAAAAAGCTTGCAGTCGAGATAAAGATGGAGAGATCACGTAACGGTTACTGTCATACACAAAACAGCCTTATTTATTGTCAATTAATAACAGTGTAGGATGGTGAGAAATAAAAACAAAACAAAAAAGACCTTTCCCCTCTACCACCCCTTCTTCCTAGGATCAGCTTCACTCCTGATTCTTCTACCTCCTCCCCCCACCAAGCAGTGCAGGGATTGTGGTCAGTTCACAACACTTTGCTTCTCCTTCTTCCTCATGCTCTTTCCCTTCTCCAGCATGGATCTTTCCCATGGGCTGCAGTCCTTAAGGATAAGATTGCTCCATTGTGGGCTTTCCATAGATGGGATCTTCCTCCTGGACACTCCCACCATGGGGTCCTCCATGGGAAATACCTCCTCCACCATGGTCGTTTCCCATGGGTTTCAGGGGAATCTCTGCTCCAGTGCCTCCTTCACTCCTTTTCTGACCCGAGTGTCTTCAGCATTGTTTCTCTCACTTTATTTTCTTCACTCCTCACACTGTCACGGGGTGTTTTTATGGGATGTTTTCCCCAAAGTGCAACCGTCTTGGCTGACAGGGTCAACAGTGTGTCCATTGGAGCTGGCTGGAAGCAGCCCTGGCCCCTCCTCACAGAGGCTGCCCCTGCAGCCCCCACTGCCAGCACCTGGGCACCTGCACTCAGTACAGTGGGTAAAGCCATTTTACTTCTTGGCTGCCCTTCTAGAGAACTAAGCTCATATTCCTGCCTCTGTAACACCAAGGTTTAAGCAGAGAGGACAGACAGTGCTTTCATTCCTCAGCTTCACTCTCAGCTCCCTTCTAGAAAGAACAACTGTGAGGTAAATCTGACTAGGACTAAGATTTCTATTTCCTGTATCTGCATTTGACACTGAAATAAGGCAAACAACTTTAAAAGTGGGGTAGTTACTGAACCTTCCTCTACAGTCTTTAGAAGACTGTTTAGCAAAAAAGGCAGCATGAGTCTGGTCCTGCTGGTCAGGAATCGGCAACTGTGGTGGTTATACATAAGAAAGACTAACAACAGTGGGCATTGAGCTACTGGGTTAAGAGGGCAAAGAACCAGATAATGCTGAAAAATAGAAAATATTGTTACAAAGAAATGTGTTTTCTAAGTGTATCTAGTTGCAAAGCTGGTCAAATAATATACCATTATTCCTACTGGTGAGGAAACCAATTTAATATATTTCATCTAACAACTGTTTATAACCAGTAATTCCATCTGATGTTATTCTGGAGAAGTTGGATTACATTGGAAACTCTTGAACTCCACAGATTTCCCTTGACTAATTTGAAATATGAATAAATTAGTGTCAGATTAACTTTGACTTCAACCAGGTCAAAATTAAATATTCATCTAAGCTGTGTACATAGGCTCTCCCTGTAGTCTAAGGAGAGTGCAGGCATATGCAGGAGGTAGTTCATTCTAAATATTAAAAAAACCTATTTCAATTTGGGATTAATTCAAGCATTAGATAAGTATATAAATACTTGTATTTTTATATGCTGCAATCTGCTTAGAAACAAAATTTTATTGGCTGCTCAAGAGACTGAGTCTTGTGTACCTGAAAATCTGAATTTATTTATTTATCTTAGCAATGTGTCAGGGTGTAAAGCCTTCATGTCAGTAAACAAGTAAATTTTACTTAAACTGACCTTTGACTTGGCTGACATTATGATGAAATGACCTGTGACATGACAAAATGGTCAAATGAAATCAATTAAGTGTGTGTCAAGTTCACTATGGGACAATCTTAGTGATCTCAGCAGATACTAGATTTCTGGACATGCCAATGATTTTATCTTGCTTAACTTTAAACAGTACTTATAGATTACCTACCAGGCTATGTTCAGTAGTTATTTGCAGTTAAAATGTCCTCATCCTTGTGCATATCACTTTCACATCAAGAAAAGAGACAAGACTTTTTTTATCAAAGTTGCTTACATTGACTGTAAATTTTTTTGGAAAGGGGTTTCTTCTGCAGTAGGTGTACACCACAGTGGGAACGGGTGTAGGAATTATTATGATTGCAAAAGTAATCAAAACAGATGGTGTATTGTGGGTGGATCATTTCTCCCTCTGTGATAAAATTCCCTCTATATAAAATAAAAATAATGATTTTAATCACTTTCAAAGAACTGGATTTTGGATTAAAGTAATGCAAAATTTTATAGTAATAATAAGTGATCATTGATGTAGTACAGTAACTTGTATATTATCCTTAAATAAAATGAACACTGCCTATCAACAGGGGACCAATGCATGTTCTTTAGACTAGAAATATATCTATTCTTGGCCTTTCTCTTTACTTCCTGCCTTTGCTGGGAAGAGTGGCCAATTTTTTTCTTTTTATCCCACTGAAGTGAAAAATATTCTATGGCATGAGCAGAGTCACATTTGCCCCAGAATCATGTTTCTATTGAGTGCTTTCATGCCGTAAATAATTTAGTTTTGTGGGCTCCCACCCACTATAATGTAAATGGTGGTTTCTTCCATTACCATTTTTTCTCCCACAAGAGCTTTCTATAAACTATTTAGATTTATTCTTGAGAGATTTCCCTGCTTAAATGACTTTATGAGCCTCCATTTTTTTCCAGAGTGTACCAACTACATTTAACTTATTGTGCGCCATGTATTTTAATATGCAAATGTGAAAACAACTTTTTATTTACTCAAATGAAACAAATGAAAAATGTAATGGAATTCTGGATCTTGAGCAATAAATAGTGGAAGTGAAATTTATATTTAAATCCAACTTGAATTTGCAGACAATTAAACTAGATGATTAACTCATTCAGTACAACTGTTGTATTCTATGACATATAAGGACTCGAATGATTCTTGAATTCCCATCTGATTGTACGAAACATGGGGAAAGACAGTATGTCTGAAAAGTTTTATTTACGGGTTTTGCATATACTAAAAAGATCAACCTAGATTTTTCACTACACTTTTGTCATTCCAGTGGAATTTTCTTATCACTGGTATAAAAATACAGGCTTACTAGTGCTAAGTGACCAGTTGCTTTACTGGCCTTGAGAAATATGGGGACACATATTTTTATATTTCCTTAAACTTGTCGGACAATGTGATACCACCAAAGTAAGTATGAATGGTCAGCACCTAACAATATAGGGAAAATTTCATTCATGTAAAAGCAAGTACAAATAAGCTGTTTTGATGAGAAAATACTGTTCTTGCGTTCAAAAGTAAGCATTTAAATTCTCTACCTGTTTGTCTTCCCATACATACATAACACAAGAAAACCACATGTATATGGCCAAAAAATTTTTTCTAGTCTGATGTTACTTATCTTTATTTATTGAATAGCTTAACAAATAAATGTTTTTATCTGTATTTTTAATAAATCCAGATTTAAAAAAATATTATAATGCAAAAGATGTCCGTCTCTAAGATCTTGTCTGTAGCCTGTTTTCACATGTCTAAACTGAGGCCTCTGAAAATAAAGATTAAAAAATCTCTTAAACCACTGTGGTCTGGAATAGATTAGTGAATAAACTACCTACCTTATAAGGCAGATTGTCTAAACCAGAATTTCCTTCCTCCCCAGAGAGCTTCCAGAGTATTTTCTATATGTTCTACTTCATCACCTTTCAGAATGACAACAGCTTTCACTGGAAGTATTTCTTTGACTTCTGTATGGACCTTCTACCCTCTCCAGCATTATCAGAGAGCTTTTTCTGAATCAGCTGGAAACAGCACAGTTGCACTGAGGCATCCCACTGGCTTATATCCTGTCAAAGTTAACACATCATTTGTTTAGTTGAAATTAGATTCCTAGCCTCAGCAAGATAAGTAGATTAGACATTGAGACACAGCTAACCTTTAACAAAATTGAGTTTCTCTGAGTTGGGGGTGGGGTGGTGTGTTTGTTTTTAGTTGAACTGCCTTCTAGATAATTACTGCAAAGAGTTATTGTCCAATGGATAATATTTGTATTTATCCATGTTAACATCAACATTTCACAACAGTTTCTTCACAATTTCATTCTGTTGACTAAATGTCTGATTTTTTTCCCCAAAATTGAAGACTACAATTATAGAAATACATATATATATATATATATATATGTATGTGTGTGTGTGTGTTTATATACATGCATATATATATGATGCTTCTAGTGAATGGTGATTTATTTTTATTGTGAGTATTGCAGTTCCCATGACTGCTTCAGTTGTCTAGGTCAGGAATGTTTTCAAACATACAGGAATTCCAAACATATAGGAAATGTATAGGAAGTTCAAATGTATACAAAACATACAGTAAACTCACTGTAAAAAAGAGCCCCTTATTACATAATGTCCATAACATGTCACCAGAAAGTGTTATAAAAGAATGTTGTTATATAACAATTTCAATTAACCTTTTCAGATTATTGGATTAATTGCTATAGAGACAACCTTCTTTTTGTTTTCTTTAATATTTTATGTCAGCAATAGTCATTAATGAAAACCAGTAGAAATATTTTCATTTTAATTCTGTCTTTACAATGCCTCTTTAAAACATTGAGAAAGTATCTTTACCAAGCACTCAGCAAAGTTATTTATTCATGGTATTTGTCTATTATAAATTGTCTGATGTCACAAGGAAAAAAAGAGAGAACAGAGCAGTCTTGTAACTGTTAAAAAAAAAAATAAATCTAAAATCTTTGTAATTGGTTTCAACCTGTTTCAAGATTTTTTTATGAGGTGTCCAGCACTTAAAAAAAAAAAAAAAAAAAAAAAAAAAAAAAAAAAAAAAAAGCTATAATAAATATGAATGTAACAATACAAGTGATATTTCTGGCCACACTGGAGTCAAAGACCATGAGAGCAGCTTTTCTCATGCTGTTGAAGGATTTCTTCCTTTTGGAACAGGCCAGTGGAAATCCCCAATCTATGTGAATTTTTTGCTTTTGTTCATTTGGAACTTTGACCAAAGGTTTAAAATGCGATGTCTTGAATTTCTCCCAGGAATACAGGGAGCGGTTCTATCCTCAGGACTTATTCTCATCTATTGTAGATTTATGGATATAGAAAGATGATTGCATAAATGCATTTGCATTCCTTAAAATGGCTTAGTTTTGCAGTTTATAACAGAACTTTCAATCTACATAGAAAACTGCAAAGGAATCAAGCGCTATGACACTCCCATCTTTCTACCACATGTGCTTGACACTACTCATAAATATTAGGATGTATTATTACTAAAGCTGTAAAACATATGCTTGCTGTCTGTCTCCATAGATGCCAAACTGGGAAGCTCTAAACATTTTCAGCCTCTTCCTTCTTGCTTGACACTGCCAGTGTTGCTACAAATAAGACTGTCAACACCATGGGATCCTCTACTATGGTCTTAAGAAGGCTATGGTGGGAAACAAATAATGTCATGCACAAATTTTGGCTGTCAAAGGTTCTTTTACATGAAATCATTCAGATAGGAAAATCTTTTAGATGTGGACATCCAAAGAGGATGTGGAATTAGGGAAATGCCCTGTACTGGACTAGGATATGGACAAAGATAAAGGGAACTTTTTTTGTGTTCACTTACCTTTTAACTATAAAGAAATGTTCTGACTTCCAGAATGACATCTCTTACCTTGATAATGAACAATATTTTTGATGGACTGTAAGATGTCAGACTGGGATGTGGCCACACTTAACATCCATTTTATCACAGACTGCCCAGAGCCCACCTTGTTCCCAAGTGCATTGATATAGCTTGTGGTCTAGCAAAGAAGTTAAAATCTAGTGTCAGAAGGAGCATTTTAATAATTTCTGTAAAAAAGTGGACAGAACTGATAAAATTCAAATAGAACTTTTTTTTTAACAGTATTTTATGACTAAAACCAGTTCCATCAGAACATTTTCAACCACTTCTGCCTTTCTAAATTAACTAGTCTGACCTTCTCCATAACAAAGCTCAGACTTCCACGTAAATATTCTCAAAAAAAATTCATGAGTCTAGACTATAAAGGCATCATGTTTAATGTTAGAGTTCAAGTGATGAAAAAAATCAGCTAGAGATCTGATAAGGTGTTAAAATAATTTATCATCTTTGGCTTCAAAATCTGTATTTCATTTCAGATTGAAACTTTCTGTCATCTGATTCCAGTCCACTGAATCTTGTTATGCTTTCGTTACTAATTAATGAGCCTTTTAGAATGAGATATGTTCTCCTTTGAGTTTGGGACCTCATGAAAAAGTGTTTTCCCTTCCCGTCTTCTCTTTTTCTCCCCCTTTACCCAGATCCTTCGGGTTTTCACAGAACTAGATATGTTGATATCACAAAGTGTATTTTCTTCAGTATTTTTGTAAGTTCCACATTTATAACACTTCAGAAAAAGAGATTTGATGTTTGGTTTCTTTTAGTTAAAAAAAAAAAAAAAAAAGGTTTTATATTACTCTAGCTTGTACAGCAAATCCAGGGCCTGAATTTAATCTTTGCATTGTTATGATTTGTAACAGCTCCTATTAAGTCTCTGTGATATCTAGTAGAAACAACTCCATATGGATTTTATTACATTCTTCAGTTAGGTTAAATGACCTGAAATTATGCAGGCATTTTGCCACTGATCTATTATCCAGAAGTAAAAACAAAGGTGTGGAGAGAGTGCAAATAAATAAAACCTAAGACTGAACAGGAAGCAGTTTGTTGGCAAGTTTGTAACCACCACCAGTTGGTTTGTGGGCATGAGCAACACCTCTTTTGGCATATACAGTAGAATTACTGCACAAAAAGTAACACAGGGCTTGAATTAATTTCTTTATCTAATATTAATACATTATTTCTGCTAAACACTCACTACAACATCAAAGCCATGGCCCAAAAAACTTCTTGTTCACTGTTGACAGATATTAGCTGTCCTTTATATCTACAACTCCTCTTCTAGATATAACCTGATATGCTTTGATCTTTGTAAATTGTACACTTAACTTGGATAATAGAAAAATAATATTAATCATAATAAAGTCTTTCCATACATGTGTAAAATTATTTATAAAAATTGATGTAAGCAGGTCATGTAGTATGATGCACAACAGTTTTCTGTCTGAGGAGCCTTTTGTGGAACCAGAAAAGGGGAGGGAGGAATATATCTGGACTCAAGGAAAACAAGAGAATCCTATCTTAAAATAAAAATTTCTGATTTATCTTTTGGGGAAACAGTACTATTCTTAATGTAAAAGCATATACCACTCATCTGGCACACAAGTTCTTTCCCAGCTTCACTGACCACATCAAATAATACTTTTAATATGGGTTCCATATCCCTTGATAGTACCTCATAGCTCCTAATGCTTATCTTCCATTCAGTGGCAAGGATCTTCACAAACTCTTCCTTAGTTTACCGCTGATTTTTGTCTCTTATATGGACACGTCCATACTACCAATGATGTCCCCTTCAATGCCCTGCTCTTCTCCTTCCTTTGCCTACCTTAGGCTTTTCTGCCTGAACGTCTACATAGAAATGTGTTACTGGCCCTGTGCTCGTGCACTTGGATGGGTATAACAGCTAGATATGTGCTCCTGTGGATTTTAAGCACTACAGCATGCAAATATCACAACTTTGAGATCAGTTATGTTTGGCTGTTTGACAGACAAAATCAGTGGGCTGAATTAGTAGATATGATATTTTTAAAATAAATTATTTATGTACTGAATTCTATGGTGAATAATAAAATAGTTATGTTTTCTTTATTCATAAGTTGGCATGAAATCATATCTACTATTTTTTAAATTTCATTTTAGTTTACTTGAGCACAGAATTTTAGAAATGGAAGAAAGGCATAAAGAGGAACTGGACACTTTGAAGGAGGAAAAAGAGAACCTACAGAGCTTGGTCACAAGACAAAGCTACATAATCCAAGAACTAGAGAAGCAGTTAAACAAGGCAACAAGCAATAACAGTGTACTGCAGAAACAGCAGCTTGAATTGATGGATACGGTTCACACTCTAATCACCCTCTGTTCCAAGGAAGGAGGTAAGAATATAGCATTTTCAAATATTAGAAGTACTAGGAAATTTCTTCTGAAGTCAGTCCTCAATTTTTGAAAAGGCAGAACTTAACGATCTAATTCCAAGAAAGAAAAATACATTATAACTGAGGACAAAAAAGCTGATGAGAACCCACACTTCAAATAAGGTTCAGACAGTGCTGAGCTGACCTTTGTGCTACCAATCATATTTGATTTTTTGAATTTAATGTCACTGAGATGTTGTACCTTGACCATAGCTGTTGTAGGCCACAATTCCCCTGACTTCACATCAGCAATACTGATTGTTCCTTTGAGGTCTGTCTCCTTCCTTTGTGAGTACTCCAACCAAACATGGATGTTAACTTTGTAGATGCCTATATCTAATTTACCCTAGATGTCCTTTACAATCAATGGAGAGAACAGGGTACTAGATGAAGGAAAGTAACCCATAATATTATACATATATATGGGTTATAATGTTGTTGAACTGGGTTGTATGTACTTATGGTGTTGTAGACATCCAAAAGATGAATCTATTCCCTTGAATGAGATTTTATTTATAATAAGGGATCATTTTTTCTATCTTCTGCCTTGCTGGATTTTGTTTGTTTCTGGGTGCATTATGCACACTACAAACACAGAAGATAGAAATAACATCCTTTGAAAGAAGGGGTTGACAGAGATTCTAAGACAATTCTCTTATCTGCCTTTCTTACTAAACAGATTTCTTACAGAGACTGAGAAAGAAATTCAGGTAGGATTTCGATTCTCAAATGTTAACAACACTGCAGAATGTCTCTGGAAAGAAATTCCTTTCATCAGAACTGCTCAGGGAGATGGTTGAATGGAAATCACTGTAAAGAATGAAAATGGGACACAGGAAAGAACAAATTTGTAACTACAAAGAACAAGGCAGAATCATACAGAATAGAGGAAAGGTTGAATGTAAGGGAGAATATAAATAAAAAGACATATGCTAAGAATAGCACGCTAAAAAAAGAATTAACAATTGTGCCTGGAATAGCATGCAGGGGGTTAAAAATACTGGGGAATAGAAAGTTGAGAAAATAAAATAATATCCATCTGGGAAGAAACCATCAAAACCCTCTGAGAAAAGGTACAGGGTAAACTTAGAGAGGAACTGTAGATGCACAAGTTGTGCTAGTGATTCAGTGGAAGCATGGATGAAAGAGGTCTATGTGAGGTTAAGTACCAGAAGTCCAAAGAGCCCAGCATATTTGCTCATTGTATTTCTAGAGTGCTAAGTGCAATAAATTATCTAAAATCCAAAAAAGAAAAAAAAAACAAAAAACAAAAACAAACAAACAAACAAAAAACAACCAAAAAACCCAAACACAAACCAATGAACAGAAACCTGAAAAAACAATCCCCAACCCCACAATCAAAACCTTGTCACCTGCATCATACCTCAATACTCTTGTTTAAGAGGCAGAAGACATATTAGACCATTCAAACTATTCAGCTCAAGGCAGTGTGGGTTTGCTCTCTACTCTATATTCCCATGCAACTTGTGTGGCTTAAATCTAAACTGTTCCAATGACGAGGATTACATCTCTTCCTTTGGAAGTGTTGCATGCTTAGGCCCATGTTGATAGACTACTTTTTTTTTATTATTATTTTTTTCCCCCTCTCATGTTCATTCTAAATATTCCCTTCTGCTTATTCTGTTATATATTTCTCGAGCATTTTGAATTAAATAACATCATTCATAGTAGGCTGTTCTCATATCAGGAGAGAAACAATGTGATGCAATACAAATCTTTTATTATGTTTTATGGACTTTTGGCAAAGAAACCTGGCAAAGCTGTGTTCAGAGTGTTCTAATAGAGCTCAGGAGTACTTTAAAAATAATATCAAAATGAAAGATATATTATTCTCATACAGATATATATTGCAAGTTCTTTGTAAGGTTAGAAAGTTTTTTCTAACAATTTTGAATTTTATTCAAATAAAAAAACCCCAAACCAACATTTTTCCTAAACTCAGTTTTCTCAGCTGCTTCTTATAAAAACTTTGAAAGAGGATTACAGAAGTGGATGTTTCAAATTGGGCTCTTGGGTACAAATTCAGGTGCCTGAAAACCTGAATTTTCAACAGTTTTTTTTTTTTATTTCTGAGGTACTATGGAAACAAAAGACGCTCAGCACAGTTAAATGCCTAAATAAAATTTTAATACCCTAACTCAAACCCTTGATTTTGGACTCCATTACCCACAGGAGCTACTCTAAATTCACACAAAAATATGAAGTTTAGATAGTCTTACACAAATCTTTATGCGTGCGTTAATGTTCAAAACATAAAATATCCTGTGAGAACTGGTGTTTATTGATAGAGAATAACAAAATGTGATATATAAATCTATGACACTCCTGTCATATTCTGGTAAATCTGTCATCTAATTTCATAAGGGACATAGCAGAAATGGAAATGTTCCAGAAGAGAATAGGACAATGGAAATAATTAGAGACCGGGAACGATTTCCATATGAGAGAGAGAGAGCTGTAACATAGAGAACTATTAGATGGGAAAGAAGGTATGTGGGATGCTGTTATGGAAGTATATAAAATAACTAATGGTAGGGAGAAAAGGAAGAGCCAGTAACACTAAGTGATATTTTCCACTGATAAAAGATAGCGCTTGATTAAGTGAAGGTAGATTGATAAAGATTTTTGAATTATTAGAAAGCTGAAGACATAGCAAAGGATGGGTCCCCTTCAAAACATCAGGCTTTAAACTAGGGACATTCATCTTTGAAAATACTATCATATTTTGAGAATGGCTTTAAGTACATTTGTTGGGGTTTCAACCATAAATTAAAAAATCTAAATCTATGCATTTTATATTACATGTATTCATATATATTTAAAAAACTATTATCCATATTAAGAAACCTAAAAATCTCCCTCAAGATAAGTCAGACAGGAAAATTTTCTTCTTGCATGAATCATAGTATTCAGGATTTTCCAATTTGTGAAACTGAAATTAGTATTTTTAAAAGTATTTTTAATAATAAAATAATAATAATACAGCTAAACAACTTCATTTGAAACCAAGATGGTAATAACCATTACTTTTTGATTACAAAACATGAGATAAATTTCCTCCAGTAATGATGTAATCATATCAGATTTATTTTTAGATTAATTTAAAAAAGTTGGGAAACTTTCAGAAGTTTGTCTCATAGGAGCCTGTGAATAATATAGCTGAACAGTGTAGAGATACAGGGCTGAACAGAAACTGCTTTTTTTTCAGTTTTGTACTCTGAGAAGCATAGCTAACTACTCCCTGGTACTGGATGACAACCCTAAGAAATCTGCTTTCACACTTCCACAGTGGCTAGACAAACTTTAGGAGAATTTCTGAAGGATATAAAGGCAAATGAGGAAGAGAGAAAAAAGTAAAACCCACACCAAGGATACATTTTTAAAATATAGATGGATGTAAATGCAAAATCCAGATCCCACTTTCCCTGTCAGTTTTGGTATAGACCAGTTTTGGTATGGGGGCCACCTGTAAAACTTGGAATTGTTTGTGAGTTTGGTTTCCAAAATACCACCCACCTCTGTCCCAGAGAGAGTGATTCTAGGATTTCAGTTGCATGTAATCCTTAAAATAGACACTCTAATAGGTCACAAAACCTACAGAGATTGACATATATGCAGGATACCACGGGGACTCTCATGTCTCCATTTTGGCCTGTGTCTATGGCTAAATAGATTTGTCACAAAGTCGATGCATTTTTTAGTCAAGGGCACCAATCTCGTCAGCGGCTGCCAATAAATTTCTACAATAGAATTTCTAAAACAGCAGCATTTTCAGACACTAGCCTTCCAAATGGTGAAAATTTGAAGTAACTTTTAAAAGATTAAGTAATCGCCAAATTCGAATCTAGATAAGTGCCTAAAACTTTATTTTTCCCCAATAAAAGTTGGGGAAGTACAAACATTGAAGCGAAAGCTTAATTAATCACTATAGAGATATTTCATGACTATCTCCAAGACTCCAGAAGTCCTTCATCTGTAGTAGATGAATTGGACAGAGATCACATTATTCTTTGCAAGAGTCATGAAAGATTTTGTGATTATGGTTTTCTTTAATCTGTTCATTCTCATACTAATTTGAGTATTGTCTGAGGATGGATAAAGCTTATGGCATATCACTGTTACTATCAAACAATAAATCTGTAACAGAAAATAGTTTAGTGACAGACTTTCTAAGCTTGCACATCAGAAAAATTACTTATGAAAAGGATATATACTGCTATGTAGAGTCACACAAATATCATGAAAAAAAAAAACAAAACAAAAAAAAAACCCAAGGAATACAGTACAAATTATGTTAAACAATAGGCAATATCATCATCAAGTGCATCCAAGTTCAAACCAAGGAATTTAGAAATAGTATTGATCCAGTGGGAAATTATGTTTCAAGCCAAACATTACAAAATATGCCCAGTCAAAAGTCACATATCTTTTCAAATATATTGTCTTTTTATTCCAGTATAAGAAAATAGATCTGGAGTGTCTATTGTGTTAGCCTTAATTTGTGTAAATCCAAGTACTCCTACCCACAGGTTAAGGGAATGTAAAAATTAAACGGGAAAGAATATTCAGCCATAAACTTATTTTCATTTTCCTGGTTTTTTATGTTGTCCATCAGACTGCATAATAATATACCTTGTTAAAATGTTTGATCTAAACCAATACACTTCAGAGAACTAATGGAGCATTAGAGAAAGTTTTGTCATAAATGTCTGGTTTTGTGACCTCCCAGCAGGAAAGGAATGAAGCATTAGCTTCCTTTTGAATGCTGCAATAAGCTAAGCTTAATTCTCAAAATAATACACATATATGCTAAGAATTTACCTCCCAGAAGTGCCTACTGAGTTCATGAAGTAAATAACGTGGTTAGTGGGTCTGGCATTTCTGAAAAGGTACAAATCTCCTGGTTTATGGGTAGTTGTCATATTTTAGAAAATTATGCA